GGCCCCCCAACCGGGTCCCCAACCGGGGCCCCAACCGGGTCCCCAACCGGGGCTTCCAACCGGGCCCCCAACCGGGGCTTCCAACCGGGCCCCCAACCGGGGCCCCCAACCGACCGGAATTGATTTTAATTGCAAATTTAATTGCAAGTAAAATCAATTCAATTGAAATCAATTGCAATTAAAATCAATTGCAATTAAAATCAATCGCAATTTTGCGACGCGTCGCAATTGATTTCAATTGAATTGATTTTTTAATCTGATTGAATTATTGATTGAAATTTAATTGATTAATGCTCAACACTGGTCCTGGGTGGGCTAGATGCTAATATGTGTTCGACCACCCCGCACCGAGGTTATTAGACGTAGATAATTAATTATGAGAATATAAATAAAATAAAAAATATTGTAAAAAATGTTTTTTAATTCTGTTTATTTCATTTGATTATGTTATTTGTACCCTGATTGGTCACTTCATAGTTTCTTATAATAGTTATTGAAGAATAGAGAACAAATATCGTGGTAGACTTATATACATGAACATACATTACTCAAGTCTCTTTGTCCTAGCAAAAACAAAAGGCATTACTTATAAGAAAAAAATATTTAGGTATTAGGTTTCTTTTGCACCGGGACTGGGTTAATTTTCTATGCGCCTTTCTCCTTTCAGAAAATAAAGGTTCAATACTAAATCTAACTGAAATTGAGATGGAAAAAGTCATGACTGCGGATTTACATAGCACTTTATTATGTACATTTACAGGATTTATAGTGATTACAACTTGGATAATAGTGATCGCATACTAGAAGACTGGGTAAAAAAACATGGAGATGAGTATGGTGCTGTTTATGTTACTATGGACTCCAATCGTACTGGATATGAGTATCCAGATGAGACAGAAATTGGACAGTGGACTGAAAATCATATGGAACATGTTATAGAACTCAGAGAGAAAGCTCTTGTCTTTGCCAGGGAATCAGGGGCAGATTATTTACTTGTGAGTACTTCTAAAGACACCCTATTATTAGTATTATTATTAGTATTCTAGGTCTGTTTATAACGCTGAGACGTGTTAAAACAATACACTAAGCTTTTATTATTTTAACATCTCGCCTTCTGCATTCTAATGGGTAAAGGGCTTTTTGTAGTCTGGGCGACAGATTAACTGTTAGAGTCACACTGTCTTTCTAACGGGTAGCGATGTTTTCATCCACCACCACCACTTTTTAAAGGACAATGGCGGACTCCCATATACGTTTCTGTTGACAAAATTTGTATGCGTCTGTTTATGAAAAATATGTGAAAATATAGAGTTTAAATTCCTGAACAAATTTGGTTTTTGGTGAACTATTCTGAGAAGTCTGAAGTCAAAGATATTCCAGTTTGAAGTTTTGGAGGATATGTTTTACATAATTGAATAAAATATATTCGGTGCATTATTATATCAAATTTACTACAGAAGCCTTAAACAGAATTAATAAAAGTTGAATGGTGCTGTGGGTTTGTGATGTGACGAAGAGGAAATGGTACTTTGTTATGCAAGGCTGTTAAGTTGTTGTTTGACGCGAGTACTTGTATTGAAACCTGAGCATGCGAAGGTGTCGAAGAAGTCGAAGGAAATTTCAAGACACGAGACGGTAAACAACTTTGCTACCGAGTGAAGTACACAACTTTTCACCTCACTATAGCGAGGAAAATGGTAGATCTTTCATCTATCAAAAACAGTTGAAATATATCAAAATAATTTAATGAACAAAATTAGTTATCGTTGTCAATTTAATGTCAAAAACAGAATATACCATATGAGAATGGAAAAAAATCATAATTTAAGGAGTATACCAATGGATTTATATTCCATAAATAACGTACGACAAATCGCGAAGTTGAACGGGTCATTATGTTTTTTTTCATCAAAAGAAGTGCGAATCTCAAAAACCTTTTAAGTTCGAATTTCAAAAACCTTTTCAACGCTGTCCGAGCTAGTGAGGTGACAATATTTTTTATAAGGTAAGGTCAAAAGGAATGAAGTTAAGCATAACAAAAGAAAACTGAGCATAGCATATCATATCTAGGTAACTTAGGCAAAAATAATTTTTTGTGAAACATGTCGTCTATCCCTGATATTGGGACTTTTCGTTAGTTTTTTACCACTTTCTCTCTTTCGTCAAAGATAAAGAATTAATTCTGTATAAAAGTTTCACCTAATTACATGAATCTTATTGAATAACCTTATTATTTACATATTATATGCGCCAGAATATCGCAAACGGTGAAATTATTGTACATTTGTATATGATTTTAATTCAGGTTAGGTTAGGTTAGTGCAAGACAATCTAGTTGATATATAAACTAAGTAAAATTGCTTACTCTTAGGTATCCAAATCGGTGATTATAGCATAATGATCAGTCAACATATTTTGTTCAGTAACAATAAATTATAATAAAACATGATCATACATAATTACTATATAATATATCCCTTAATTAATAATATTACGTAAAAAGAGATATTAAATTTTCATTGTTATTGTAGTTTAATCCTTTTAATAAGTCTTGTATGGTTTTCTTACATTGAAACTTATTCATAGGATATATGCATAGTAAACAATTTATTTTACTATACAAAATGCTGCCAAGGAAGCAAAAGAATCTGTGGGAGTTGCAGTACGAAACTGTTCAGTGGAACAAACTCATGGCTTTCTTACGGTGTTGTGCTATGGGGAATTAGTGTAGATATTTCAGCTTTGCTGACCCTGCAAAAAGCCATTTAGAACAATGGCAAATATCCAACTAACAGACAGTTCTAAACCTTTATTTCAAAGTCTTAAAAGTTTACCTTTGCCTTGCCTATACATATACGAAATATGTAAATTCGTAAAAAAAAGATGAACCTGGTAACTTCACATCACGCCATAACAGTAGAAAATAATTAATGAACTGCCCAATTCTTTCAAGGAAAAAATCAATGAAAAATGCTTAATTAAAAACTAGAAGGGTTGTTAATGGAAAAAATAATTATTACACCGTGCAAGAATATTTTAAAGATACATTGACCAAAAACTACTAAAAGTACAGTCAATAAAAATATATAATAATGGAATATATAAAAATCGAATAGGGTTATTTTTAAAATCTTACAACCTTACAGGACTACATACTAACATCATGAACATCAACGTTTGTTCCGTGATTTTTGACAAAACATGATAAATATACCAAAAATAAATTATTAAGTTGTTTTTGTACTATCTGACACTTGGTACTTGGTACTTGGTGCAACGGGCTGGTATTCGCAACTCGACGACATAGCGCCTATTTTGCGTGTGGTATCTGACACTTTTTAGATCTATATTTGCTAGTAAGGTAGTAAGTTAAAACGTGCAAGCGTCCTCTCCGACGACTCCTGCGTTTTGTACAGAGTTATCAGCGTTTAGAGCGGCTACACACAGCGACTATTAGCAGCGATGTAAAGGGGATGCTGTAGCGATGCAGTCGCTAATCGTTTACCTTACACACGCGCGCTCGAATTTAAGCAGCGAGGGTAACGCGATGCAACCGCGCGACTGCATCGATACTAACGCGCGATTGCATTGTTACACTTGGGATTTATAGGCGATTGCATCGACGCAATCGTGCGTATGTACCTACGCAATCGCGCGTTTGCATCGATGCAATCAACTATAAATCGCAGTTTGCATCACAAGTCGCCGTGTCCAAAACCACTCTCAGAGCGATGTTTGTGCGATACATTTATTTTTAAATGAAAGTAAAATCTGAGGTATTATTAAAAGTCATGGAACAAAACAAAGTTGTTGTTTATGATGTTGGTAATATAGTCCTGCGAGAAAAAAATGACCCTGTATAGTAAAATGATATTGATATATAGGGTGTAACAGAAAGTTATAGTCATATTAAAGGACCCAATGTACCAGTCGTTATATACTATTAGTAATTTGAGTTTCATTCAAATATGATTTTATTTCTAGACTTACACAGACGGTTTGTGTAATTTGAAAACCTAATGAATTTATTTTATTGAAACTTAATATATAGCGTTCGCCATTGCTCTTTTTAAATTAATATTTAAGTATTGTAAAAACATGTTTTTAATCAAAATCGTTAGGAACACCGTGTGTCTTTAGGACGTGTGACAGGTTAAGTAAAGGTTCGTTGTAAATACTAAATTAAACTGATTTTTTTTTTCATTCCCATAGAAAAATCACTAGATGTGCTAGACAAAAATTAGATGAGTGTTTAATTATTTTGTGTTTGTCTTAAATATATTAACCAAAATATTCCAAAATGTTCATTTCGCCAGTGTTTGAAAATTACATCCTTTGAATAAATTCATCATTATTTCTACTTGAACTTTCTCTAGTTTGTTTACAATATTTTATTGTTATAATAACAGACGCACTAGGGGCTATAAAAGACTCAATATGTTACACATTATTCACTGTTAGGTGATCTGTTCAACTTTTTATTCGATGCTGTATTAAAATTTTCAGATGATAGATTCCGACGTCTACCTAACGAATCCGGAGTCATTGACAACGCTTGTAGCAAAGAATTTGGAAATCTGTGCGCCTATGCTCCAAACAGATGGCTATTATTCCAATTTCTGGTCAGATCACAAGATCTTGCATGGTTGCATGATCCTTAGTGAGGTTTAAATTTTTTCAATTCCATTTTAAACAGTAAAAAAAAAATTGTTGTAACCTATGTTTCTTTGTATGACGTAATAAATATGATTTCTTTAGTTGTTACTATGCTTAATAAGATACATAATGCTATGGCTCGTCTTCTATTACCTGCTTTGATTATTATTTACAACCTGCTCGTGTGTGTTGGAATGCCTTTATTATAGATGACTGTCAAACAAAGCATGCGTCCAATACAAATATCATACCAGGGTATTTATTGACTCGACTGCTATTGTTAGCTGAATATAATTAATTATTATTCAAGATGTAGACGAAACTATTAAACACTACTCTATTAATCAACCATAGTTCAAGTCGAAATGTAAATAAAATAGTTGAAATTACACTATCTGCTATGTGTATTGTAGACGTATCACTTTTTGGTTGATTTCAAAGATTACATTAGGTAAAAAATTTATGCGCAAGTGATAACAACGTGGAACACGCCTAGGGGTCGTGACTAACACTACTTAAGAAAAACAATAGTATTTGACAATTGAAGACCTACCTAAAGGCTGTGTCACGTCGAACTAACATAATTTTGACCATAGATCCTAAGAAAATACTTGATCTGTTGGACTTCTTTGTTGCCAAGAACACATTAACGGAGACGTAATGAACCTAAACTCACCGCATACCGACGCGACCATGTCTTCGAATCAATGCTGGTCATTGTAGGCATAAAATCAGTCCTATAGAAGTTCACGTGAAGTTTTAGCAAATAATATGATTCATGATTACAAATTGTTAAAGAAGTTGAACTTGCAATTTTTTTTACACGCAAAATAAGAGCTACGACATTAAGTTGCGGAACCAACTATGTTAGATTAGAAATCAGAGTCATTATAGACTACTGAGATCAGGTATAGTGCTGACCATACATAGTACCAAGTGACAGAATGGTTCTTGGCAAAGCGTCTGAGGAACTCCAACAAATCAGTGTAATCCTTCATTTCATATCCTCAAAAGACCAATAAACTTATTAATCTATGGAGTTTTTATGTGTTGTCTGAAAGCGTTAGTAAACTTGTTTGACTTTCCAGGTGTGGGATGACAGAAGATTACTATTACAAACGAACGGAAGATTACTCACAAATATTATTTAGGGAAATCACTGGTTGTTTCTCTGTGCCTATGATACATACTTGTGTGCTCATAAACTTAACTTTAAAAACATCTGATTTGCTTACTTATGATCCTAAGAAAGCTGAAAGCTATGATGGTCCCACAGATGATATAATTACATTTGCTGTAAATGCACAAAATATTGGTATGTCGTGAAACATTTTTCACTAAATTTTTTTCATTTGATAATATTGTTAGATAATTTAGATTATTAATTAATCTGAAATATTCATTTGCAGGTATGAAGCGCTATATATGCAATGATATTCAATATGGATTTACACAAACGCCTCCCACCAAACATGACAAAGAAGTCAATTTTATAGAAGTCGAAAAAAAAAATTTATTAAACCTGAAGATGGAATTGGTAACTAGCGGCACCCCATTACCATTAGATGACGATTTGGAGATATATGTCCAATACCCGTCGCCTGGCAGCTATAGACTTGATGAAACTTATGTTTTGAATTTGGAAAGAAGACCAGAGAGACGAAGACTGATGGAATTGAGCTTAAAGGAATTAGGGTTGAAGTATAAGATGTTTAAGGCCATCGATTACAAGTGAGTACATTTTGTGACAGCTCTGTCAATGCTTATTATATTGCACAAGAAACAAAATACTGTTGCAACTCAAACAGGATTTCAACATTTATAAAAATACTGAATGGAACCAATATACAGGCGATGTCACACAGAGGCAAAGTACCTTAAATACCGTAGGTAGAAGATTTTACTGAAAGGACTTCATTTTGATTTTAAAAACAATTCAAACTGCATTCAAAGATTTTTAAATAATCGACTGTCTAAACCGGGAATCGAACTCGCCAAATGTGAAAAAAAAAACCCTGTAATTTTACTATACTGATTGAAAGCCTCAATCATAAGGATTGTTTTCTTCTAAATAACAGCAACTCGAATGATATATATATTTGATAGTACTGTAAGTTCTGATACCTAGTTGTAAATATATTTGTGTTTTCATCGTCTTCCTTTTATTTAGTCAATGTCATTTATTGATAACAAATAAGTTACAAGTCACAAAATTTAAAAATTTAACAATAAATAATAATTAATTGGTTCACAAAAATAATTATTGCGATAACTAAAATCTTATACAAAAGCGACAATAAAAATAACAATAATAATAAAAATAAAAATATTGTTAATTATATTACAATTACATCAAATTACTAACAATAAATTAATTAATCAATTAATAGCATCACACAGTACTATATCATTATTATTTTATCATGCGCTTATACTAGGGAAATGATATGACTCAAGTTTGTACTCATTAGTAATACTTTGAAATGATAATGTCAGTTGTTATGAGTCTGCAAAGTCAGAGACAAGGCTATTCATTTTCCTGAACAAAATTTCAAATTAAATGTTTAATTTCATGGTCTTCCTTTTATGTAAGATGCTATGTTATTTAGAAGAAAACAATCCGTATGATTGAGGTTTTCGATCAGTATAGTAAAATAACAGGTGTTTTTGTTTCACATTTAGCGGGTTCGATTCCCGGCTGAGATAGGCGATTATTTAACAATCTTTGAATGCAGTTCTAATTGTTTTTAAAATCAAAACGAAGTCTTCTTTCAGTAAAATTTTCTGACTACGGTATTTAAGGTACTTTCCCTCCATGTGGCACAGCCGTGTGACGCCCCCTGTGTATATGTTATATTCTCGTTTATAAATGGACAATTAAGTGTGATGTATAAACAAAAATAATCACATTATTCACAATGAGATCCAATCAGTATTTTTTAAATTATATGTATACTTATTATTGTTTTTTCAAGGCGTTGCCCTTTGTTATTGATATCCAAGTACAATTCCTTTCAATTTAATTCTTATTTCAGGGAATTGACCCCACAAATTATACACGATTTACACATCCATGTAATGCCTAAGTATGAAGATCCCTACCACAAAAGGTACATTTTATGACTGTTTTTATTTTATTTACATATAGCCGGTATCATAAGTAGTTGTATAAGCTAGACAAAAAAAAACTTATTATGCAATGGTTTTTACATATGACTAGCAGACCTTCACCATTGCGAATATAATATGAAGTTGGTTAGTGTAACCTACACGGTTGTGGCCGAGAGTTTTGAGTAATCAAACGAAGGGCTCGGCCTACATCATTTATTGTAAAATAGGAGTAGGAAGGAAGGTAAAGGTTGTAACAAAACAAAATAACGGTATAGACACAAATATAATCATACAAAAACACTCCTTACATAAATTAGACACAGGTTAACAAGTTAGGCATGGTAAATATGGAACTTACCCCAAAGGGGCCTGTATTTTTTACAAATATAATGCTTTACAAGCGGTTAGGTTACGTGATTTTCAATGGTATAACTGGTCAAAATGTTATATGTAGTCGAGCACGTGTGCTTGCTTCGGAAACTTAGTAGAGAATGGCGACGGAAAGTAGAAAAGTAAGAGTGACATAGAAAAGGAATTAAAGAACGATTCGAAATTTCAAAGTAGGCGGTCAGGAACCAGAGAAAAGGGTGATGTAGGATGACGATGCTTTCATCGTCAAATCTTGTGAAATCATAATAGGAAATCTTTGGATTGGGTCTTTACCCAATCCAAAGATTTCACCCAAAGCAACTGAAGTGGCGACCATGATTAACTAAGCCACAAGGTTTTTACAAAAATCGCAGGTCCATATCGATGCCTTACTTTCTTTTCAAACACGTATCTTACAAAGAGCGATTATTCAGGAGATGGAAATAATTTCTATTTATTTCAAAATTCTTATTAAATTTGGACGCATTACTTTAAGAATCGGCAAAAGTCAGTGTGTGAATATGAAGGAAATGTGATGTGAAATCAGCTCGCAAAATATATCAATGCAATGTGCTTAAGATACGAGTTTCAGAAAGTGAGGCGTCGATATGCTACACTAAACACTATGCGGCTGGCTTTTGGTCCTTGCGTTTACATCGAGCAGAAATGGATAAAGAATATATAAGCATATGGTACCAAAGAGCCTAAACAAGGATAAGCGCCCTGGCTGTATATGGTAGCTCAGGATCGTTTTTATTTTTTTTGCATGTGTTATAGACCTCCACCAGATGAATTTGGAGTCCACGAAATTACAAGAACTTTCAATTGAATTTTATTGAGAACGTTTTACTTACAGACCGATGAAACTTGGCGAGATTGGATGTTTCCTGAGTCACTACTACATATGGAGAAGAGTAAGCTTTATTTTTAATAATAAAGAACACAACCAGCCGACTAATTGTTTACTAAGGAATAAAGCTATCACAGCTGTGACACTGTACATTTCAAACTAAATAAAACTACAGTACGATTCTGTTTGTGGTTCATAAAAAAAATAACTCGCCATCTGATTTGTCTTGTAGACTAATCTTAATAAGAATACAAAGCTAATTGATGTTTTGTAGAATCATCACCAATGCCTCCGTCTTAATAAATTAAAAAATAAAATTATGTTCAATACTGGATTATCTCTTCCAGGTGGTGCTAAACGGATACCGTAGAGTTTTGGTTCTTGAAGACGACATCAACTTTGTGCCCAATTTTAAAGAGGAATTTTCTGAATTCATGGATAATCTCGAACGTATTTTTGCCTGGGACTTTGTGTAGGTATCTAAGCCCATAGTAATAATTATAAATACAGGGAAGTGATTAGGTTTTGTCAAAAAAATTCTAATAATAAAACTAATAAGAGCAAGTAGGTTAACTCCCGCCTGTTAGGTGCTTAAATGTCTATACTTCACTCGGACGTTATTATTTTGATTGAAGATAATTAGAAAAAATTAAGGTGTTCATCACAGTGTTCTCGTGCTACATTGAAATAACCCGTGTTAAATGCAGTAGGTATTTACGTATTTATATTTTTATAACAGCATCGCGGATTGGTATCGTGACTATGGAATATGATTATGAAATAGAAATATATAATAATATATATAACTGGATAATTCTGAATTTGAGGCACTCTTGTTGAAACTATTACATACACAACAATAAACATGTTACATGTCATTATTTAACACCTAGAGACCGCAAAATTGAACTGCGCGTCAGACGACCCGCACTATGCAACGCGAGTACACGGCGACATTATGCGAATGTGTGCGTCCATACAATGCACGCGGCGAGCGTGCCTGCGGCCTTTTGTACCAGTCACTTAATATTTTATTTCCTATTATATTTTCCATTGACTTACAAATAAATGGACGGCGGGTCTAATACAAAAACCACGAAAAAAATGTCCCAAGTCAACCTATTCGAAATTTAAATTGTTATGTCATCGCAGTATCGCGCTGTCCGTAGAACAAATGAAGACTAAAGCGGAGTGTCGCGCTCTGTATACGATTTTAGCGCCTTACAAGTGCGGACACTTTTTAGCGCGGACCCGACGTCCATATAATTGTAAGTCAATGATATTTTCCCATTTTATATAGCCGGTCATACCATTGATGGTATTAGTGGTATTAACCTGTCCCATTTATACCTGTAATGGTATAGGTGGCACTAGTTTATCCCAGCTCTACCATTGGATAATAAATAATGTTATAAATGGTACTTACCTGTCCCACTTGTACTTTAAACAGTATAAGTAGGACAGGTTGAGACTGTTCATACCATTGAATTATTTCTGACAGCGCCTTGCTATTCGTAGTAGTAGTAGGTAAGTATCGTCCTATGGAGCATCCGAGGTTTGATGGAGTTACCATACTTGCCTTAATATACTATGCTACTAGGTAAGATTACAGAAAACAAAGTATTAAATTACTTTTACTTTAAGTGTACTAACAATGCGATTTTGTGTATCCACAATGGCATCCTAAAGAAACAGAATTTTTGTATGCTGTGCGATTTATGCTATTGCTATTACTGTTGTTATCTTTTGCTTTGTGAATTTTTACTTATTGTATTGATAAATTGATTGTCTATTCAAAATTGGCGTCTAAAAATTTGTATAGATCTCAGTGTTATAGATCTCACCGTAGTACTTACCTAGATTTGATAGGACCGCGAATTATTGTTAAATGCGAATTATTGTTTTGTAATTCCAGTTGTTAGCTACATATAATACTGCATCAGGCTTTTATTTGAAAGAACACTAGTTTTACTTAGTACGACAAACAACACACCGTTGAATGAATTTATCTTTGGCTAAATAAAATGCAACAAATTGTTATGTCCATAATTTCGCATTGCGAAAGCATTGTGCCAAATAGAAATTGATATTTGACCATAGTAATAGTTCAAGTTGAATGCGATTTTAGTGTACATTATTTTTTAATTATTTATACTTTATTTTGATTAGGTACACGAATTTTAATACACGTAAATACACCCCTCATGTGTTAAAATTATTTTGCAAGGAAAATGATTATACGTCACACGTACATATTGTAATTATTGTTTAGATTACAATAAAGAATTTGAAATTCTTTTCAGATATATCGGGCGGAAGGTTCTCTATGACGAAGAACTGTCTGAGAGTAGAAATATTGTGCGGCCTCGCTATTCATACTGGACTTTGGGCTATATCATAAGTTCACTCGGAGCTCAAAAGTTGATCAACGCACAGCCACTGAAGAAATTGCTTCCTGTTGATGAATTTATTCCCATTATGTTTGATGAACACCCAAAGTAAGTATTGCATTAACAACCATAGTAACTACTATATAGTTAGTAACTACGGTCAGTCAATACACTATTTCGTGCAAGACGTTGTATTGTGTAAAAAAATTACGAATGCGTCACGTCAAGCATTTTTATAGTACTGCTATGGCACGTTTGAATTTCATTACATAGGAGTGAGAGTCAGAATGGCGGGTGCACCTTAACGAATCCTGACTAATGTAGTATAAAAAAAATGTACCTAAATTGTCCTATTTAGTACCTGTTCTTAAAAAATGTACCTCAATCGGAACGAAGTTATAACAATGCCAAAGGTACATTATTGACATAAGAATGTCGGGTATACCTCAAATTAACTACAGAATAGATTGCACATCGAGTTCTTAGGTTTTCGCGATTGTTACACATAGGAAATGAAACTATTTTTCCGGATTTTAATGGCGTATATATGTTGTTTCAAACACAAAAACCAACGTTTCAGGCCTTTTACAGGTCCCATAGTCAATTGATATGGGACCTGTAAAATAAAATGTAAAATTGTTAGAATTTCCGATTTATCTTTAGTATGACTTTCAATACGCAAACGGACACTACACACCTTGACGCTAATATTGATTTAGAGGCTCTTTGCTATAGCCAAATAGGGCAAAAATGCTAAATTTATAGCCCTATGTATCCGCCGCAATGTCTTTATTTCCTCATGAAAATATTCAGGTAAAAAAATTGATACCAGGTCAGGCGAATATCAAACGCCACATATCCGACACTCCATCATTTATTGTTGTTATTATTTCTAGCGCAACGTGGAAGTCGCATTTTAAGTATCGCAACCTCATAGCTTATTCGGCGTCGCCGCTACTCGTTTACCCGACTCACTTCACTGGCCAGGATGGATATATTAGCGACACCGAGGGATCCATTATACACGACGTCCACACGGAGGACTCTGACAACGATGAGGACGAAATGTCAAAATTAGCTTTTCAAGCCAGTTCGATTACAACATACGGAGATGCAGATCCTCTTAATATAAACGATCGTTTCTATGAACCCAAGACTACCAACGAGAGTTATATGTCCTGGAACCACAACTTGTATAAGACTGAGCTTTAAAGAATTTTCACTGTGGTTCTTCTGTTCAATTCGAATCGCGTCTTTTTTATTTTTGTTATCTGTAAGTGTGGAAGGTTTATATCTAGCCTTCGGTATGTCTCATTGTAGTCGTCACTAAATAAGAGGCCAAATTTGACAGCTAAAGAAGGCGAGAGTACGTAACTTTGAATGCGATCAACTAAACAATAAACAAACAATTATTAGAATAATTAAGTTTATAAAAAAATACATAAATTTTATGGAAACATTATATAGTATGACAAAACATATTTGAAGTACTGTTTTCGCACGAATTCCAAAATAAAATGCAATTTTGAGTTACCCCGAAACGTCCTGAAAACAGTTACGTCCTCAAGCTATTTTTTTTAAATAATAGGGTTGTAAGCAATTAATCGCCGAATTACACCGAGTCACTTCGATTTCTCGGAAAACATATTTTTTTTAAATATTAGAAAAAATAATGAACATTATTTGAGATAGTTTGTTGTTGACATTGACAACTTCTAACTTATTGCCAGCCAAATAATTGAAAATGTAAGAAATCCTTGTTTCTTGGTAATTTAATCTTTTTATGTAGTTGTTTTATCGATGAACATATTTATTTACACTAAATTCTCGGAATAAACCATTTATGAATAATTATAAAATCAAAATTAAAAGAATTGGATATAATTCATCGGAATGTGGGATAGTTTTACGAAAATGAGAGGGATTGGTACAGAATTGCAAGGAATTCTGTAAATGAATTGCTTTTAACAGAATAGCACGATTTGGCCTTTTAGGCCCCCTGAACAACAATGAACCGAAAAATAATCTAAACAATCACAAACTCTTGAAATTTTGGATCGTTTTCTCGTGAAAATCGTATGTGATTACCGATATGAATAGTCCACATCCCTATTCGCCTCACGTCCTTTTATTTGGTGACGACTATAGTGAAGAACAGATCATTTTTGACCTGCTTAAATTTTAGGCTAACCTGGCGAGTTTGTGGTATGAAAAGTGTACGCCTAGGATGAGGGTCTTTATGACCCCAAATTTCATTTACATTTTTTATATATTAGTTAGAACATTTTTAACAAATAATTTTATACAACCGTACATAAAGGGCATTAAAAAAGGATAGGACATTTCAAGCATATTCATAAAAAATATATAGTTTTAAGTACAATTTTTTTTTTATACATATTCATTTTTACTTGACTTTGGCGAAATCATCGATTATTTCGATGGAACATAGCCTATTTGTGTCACTAACTAAATTATTTTGGTAGTATACATGAGACCAATAATAATAAATGCAATAAAGTAATTATTCATTGTCGCCATAGCACATTATTGAAAGTAAGAAAGAGTAAGTTCTGGACAAAATTGTATTTATGACATCCTTCACTAACATGATTTGTCACCTGATGTCTGGCATAAGGACATACTTGGCGCCTTTTTCGGGCACCTGGTACTTTGATAGAAGGTCCTTCTACAGAAATGCCACTGAATTCTCAGATTCTTTCATGCAGTTGGCTAGGCAATTGAGGTATTTCTTTTCGAGTACTAAAATGTTAACGACGTCGATCTTGGGTTTGTCAATATACATACATACATACATATATATATATATATATATATATATATATTATTATATATATATATATACAATAAACGTATATAAATAATGAACCATAAATGGCTCCAAAATGCTACGTCGCGGTTGACGGTCATATTTACCCTGAACGGGTTTGCGTACATCTGCCTCCTTGCACAGGCACCGGCCGACGGAGTAGTGGATTTAGCAGATAGAAGGGTCTATAAACTCCAACTACTGAAATGATAGACAACTTACAACTGCATCATAGAAAATTGTACTCGATCAAAAATCTGCAGGACCCCTCCTCATCCTCGCCGGGTTAAAAGTCTTTGAACTATTTTTTATTGTAGGCTTATGCTTTGTGAAGCTTTTCCCATTCCTGTAATGAAAATCGCGCAACCGTATACGCGTCGTAATTTTACTATAAATCGTATACCAAAAATATCAGTGTCATAGGTTTAAATTTCTTACATTTAATAATATTATAACGAATAATAGTCATTTTTCTAGTTATATACTCGATGTAGTCATTATACAAATTTAATAGAATTTCTCTATTTTTCTTACACAATCGAAATACAGCACAGGTTATTTCACGTAATATATCATGAATCTACCAAGTACTGTACAGGTGTATCTATTTAGCCTTTATGTCTCATTAGAGAATGACAGACCATTTTTTGAATTGCTTAATTTTTAAGGCTAATAATGCGATTAAAATTCTTCGAACTATTTTTTTTTTATTGTAGGATTTTGCTTTGTGACTTAAAATCGTAGTGCCGTAGTTGAAGTTCGCGCCTTTACGCCTAACATTCGACATTCTGATTTTAATAGTTCTTGTTATCTCTGGTCTCTCTTTATAAATATGTTGCCATACTTATAGTCATTGAATATTTTTGTTATTATTCCAATAGTTTGCATTCACAGTGTCCTTTTGTTAATTATTTAAGGAAGCACCTAGATTAAGCAAATGTATAACCTCTAGAATGTTTACTAATATTAACATTATTATATTTATATATATGATTAAAATTAAAGTGCCATAAATGGCCATAATGTAATATGTAACACTAGTCTAGTAGCCTGCTGAGGGTTTTACTAAATGTACCATGTACTATTTAATACGACATCATAATAAATATAATCATGACCACTTTGATTTTTCATTTTATTACTGTCCTGTCGATAGAAACGTGATTTCAAATAATGAATTTATAAATTTTAGTGAAATGTACAATAGTGGCAATGAGGAAACTGTTGAGAACACTGTCGTTGATGAAAAAGTACAAGAGGGATTACATGCTGAGGCGATATCTAAGGCTCCATGTGCTGGCACAGCTTCGGGCTCTGTTGTCGGCGAAGCGGATATGGCTGCGAGTATGAGCTCGGAGTTAGAATCAACAATGGACTCTATCACGAAAGAAATAGCCAGGGATTTGGCGGAACATTACAAGGAGTTGACGAAGTACGCGATAGTTATGAATGAAATAATTGATATAGTGAGTAACAAAGAGGCGTTGCAGAGTGAGGCATACCAAGAGCAAAAAATGGTCAATGAGTGTTTCAGTACGGAAGCGCACGAGCCGCTAAACTGTTCGAGTTTCGTTCATCGCTTCGTTCAGAGTGTTCGGGATTATACGCAAATCGTGTTTGATTCTCTCGGGGACGACGTAGACGCAGACGCTTATACCGGTGACGAAGATGACTGTTTTTAAAAAATGCCAATGGATAATAAACAGCTACTAAATCTAGTAATATAATAAAATCATAATCATGAGGTCTTTATTCGTATTCTTTAAGTGTAACTAGTAGAGATTATCTATGGCAATTATAGATCGTGTTCATTTCTTAAGGTGCTTTTCCACCAGCGCACAGTGGGCCCAAATTAATTCTTGGACATAGGAATAACCTGTGGAGTATCGAGAAAGTATCGAAAAAGTTTTTTTATGTGATAGAGAATCACATTCCTAACAACTTTTACTCTTGTATAAAAGTTTCTTGAAATATAGAGAAATATAAATTTTATTTTTTATCTCAAAATATACGAAAATGTAATGTGCGTGGGTTACTTACAGTATAGTTCCAATCATTTTCTATGTAGAAAAAAATAATCCTAAAATTTATGATTTTTATTTCCGGCATTTTTTAGTCAGCTTTTAGGAATACAGAGCTGATTTTTTTCATATGATAAATAATAACATTCCTGATAACTTTTATTCTTGTGTAATTTCTTGAAAAGCTGATTGTTTCAGAGAAAAAAAATCGTTAGTTTTTTTGTTTGGAGAAATAAACATTTTATTTTTTCATCTCGAAATGTAGAAAAAGTGTGTGGTTTATTTACAGTAAAGGTCCAATCATTCTCTATCAAGAAAAAATAATCCATCTGCAGGTACTTGCGCTTTTACGAGTAAAAAGGTGACAAATTTTTAGATTTGTTATTTATTTGTTAACACAATATACTAGTTTTTACTTAACTTACGTGTTATTGTTATAATACTCTCTAAATTACACTAAAATTATTTTTTCTAGTCGCAGCTCATGTATTTTGTCAAAAATGTACATAAAAAAGTTAGCAATTTTACCGCACCTTTACTTACAAAGCCGCAAGTACATGCAGACGGATTATTTTTTTCTACATAGAAATTGATTGGAACTATACTGTAAGTAAACCACGCACATAACATTTTCGTATATTTTGAGATAATAAATAAAATGTATATTTTTTCTCCAAAACTATCAACTTTTCAAGAAATTATACAAGAATAAAAGTTGTTAGGAACGTTATTATCTATCACATAAAAAAAAATTGCTCGATACTCCACAAGTTGTTCCTATATCCAAAAATTATCAATTTGAGCCTACTGTGCGGCGCAAGCAGAGACGAGACGAGGATTAAAATTTGTAAAATTGTGACAAAATTTTAATTCTCCTAGCGCATCTTCGGTGGAATGGCACGTCCTCGTCTATCCAAGACGAGGACGTGCGAAGCGAGAATTGAAATATTTGCTTATGAATATTGAACCATATTTCAGCCGACATAGAGTATTTATTATCTTTGCAACGTAAACACGATTTCTCGTGCGAGCTCGCGAGTACCCACACGATCTCGCGCGAGCTTGCGATGGATATTAATATCAATCACAAGATAGTGGAGTACGTACGATTTGAGATTTAAAAAATTCATTTGATGCTTCTTCCGAGCTCAATCACGAGCTCGCGATTGCTATTAATGGCAAATTTTGGTGAAAATAGATTTCAATTCTCGTCTCGCCTGGTCTCGTCCTGCTTAGCCGGTGGAAAAGCACCCTTACACAGGTTTAGTTTTTTATTAACCCGAAACCTATGAACACGACATTCCTATGACAAAAGACTCAAGATTTTTGATTTTATTACGGCACGTACACCACCACCAGCTCTTCATCAATTGGTGTGGGAAAACATATAATGTATGGATTTCGATGCCGAAACGTAAATCAATGTTTTTTGTTAAAGAGTAGGACTTGTGTGTTCATAAGCCAGATAACCTTTATGAAATTATATAACTCATGTATCTTTATACATGAGAAAACAAACAATACACAATATTTATACAGAGTCATTTTTAAAATACTGACTATCTCGCAGAACTGTAAATATTACTAACCTCATAAACTACAACTTTTATGACTTTCCTTTTACGTAAATGGGACGCCGGCGTCCCCGACTTATTTTTGTTTTATTTTTTTAATCGAAAGAACATTCATAGGCGCGTTTTTCAAAGATTTTTATTAAGTTTTCTAAGTTTTAGTTTTAGTATATATTCGGTGGTGTGATTTGTTACAATGGTAAGTAAATATGTATATTAGACATATTTTTATAATAGATTGCAAGTGTAAAGTTAATAAAATCCATAGTAGCTGCAAGAGACACCGGCGTCCCAATATGCAGTATCGGTCAACTATTCTCTGTTTTCTTGTTTGTGTTTTATTACTTTTTATACGTACTTAGTCTAAATCATAGTTTCCCAAAGTGGTCCCTAGCGGCCCCAGGTGGGCGCCGAGGAGTCCTAGGGGGGCGGTAGGGCCTCGAAAGCAACTGGGAAATTTGATGCTGTCCAGAGGCTGCCACCTACCGCATTTTAAGAAAATATCAGAATTATATATTTACACTATACTATGACTATACTACATACACATATAATTCTTTTCGTTGTGATTTTTTATATTAAATTAATATTAAAAATACGTGTTTTGTATTATTTTTTTGTAGTGGTAGGCGTTGAATTTTTTTTTATCTTGCCTAGGTGGGCGGTGAACTTAAAAGTTTGGGTACCTATGGTCCAAATTATCCTGAATATTTTGTAATATTTCAGGCTTACCAAGGAGCGAGGCTGTTTGCATTGGGCTCTTCTGGAACAGAAGAGTACCTAATGGCCGATACTAGCGACTGTGAAGATGCCCTTCTTTTGAATGAAGAGGATCAGGAATTTATTGAACAAGACATGGCAGAAGGAGTATCACAAGTTATTATCGAACCTGCAGGTGCACTTGATCCAGCTCCTACCCCATCATCATCATCATCGACTGCATCGTGTGATCTATTGCCCCCTCTACTACAATACCAATTTTTCGATGGAGATCAAACACCTATAGGCTATACAACTTTGCAGAAAGTATGTAATGCTTTTGTGATGTATTTAAGGCAGTCACTAACATCACAGTACTTATTGAAAACATAATCATACCGGAATCCATACTGTATGCACAACAAAATGGCTCCTCGTTTACCACCGATTACAATTAAATAACGGCGTTCACAGGAATTAATTATATAATGGGTTATCATGTTTTGCCTAGTTTACGACATTATTGGTCAACTGAACCCGACATGGGTGTACCCTTTGTAGCTAATGTTATGCCTTTATCAAAATTCGAAGATATCTTCATTTTTGCAATGACGAAGTACAGCCACCGCCGCCGTCCCCGGATTTTGATAGAGCGTTCAAAATCCGCCGGGTAATGAAGCATTTCAATACTAGCTTCCAAGTGGCCCTGAACAATACTGTTACGCAGTCAGTTGACGAACATATGGTCAAGTTCAAGGGTCACAATATCATGAAGCAATATATGCAAATCAATACTTTAATATTTGTAAAAAGAGCGCTTAAACTATGGTGTCGTGCCGATTCCGCAACTGGATATTTGTTCCAGTTTGATATGTATATATCAAACTGGAACAAATCACAATGTATACTGGTAAAAAGAGATCCGGAGTAGAAGTGGGCTTAGGCGAATCAGTCGTATTGGCGTATACTCAGTATATATACATTTCGCGTATACTGCAGTACCACCTGGCAAATCTCAACATCAAGGCGTGTGGAACAGTTTGTATACGTATATAAAAATGTACCTGCTAACAAGAACATGAAAAGGGGCGATATCTATACAACCAGCTTTGAAGGCATTTCATTTGTCAAGTGGATGGACAACAAAGCTGTTCATCTGCTAACGAATTTCTTGTCGCCGATTCCAACACAAACAGTAAAACGACGTCAAATTGGTTCTGCGCAAAAACTGAACATCACATATCCAGATATTGTATGTAAGTATTACAAAAGCATGGGAGGAGTAGATCTCATGGATAAAAAAAAGTCACCTACAAAGTCGATCGAAATTCTACATTCGTATATTATCTCGAATATATATATATATATATATATATATATATATATATATATATATATATATATAGTCTCGAATTAAATATTATCTTCGATTATTTTTTGATATACTTGATATCGCAATGAATAATGCGTATACGATTTATGCCAAAAAGCACGAAGACCATAAAATTGGGGGTAACCTTCTGTCATCGCTTATACCGGCAGAATACAACAAGATTTACATAGATATTAAGCTATGATTGGAGGATATTTATCAAGGAAAATTGCCTTGCCTTCGACGCTGATGACAAAGAAGCTCGTCCAAAATGTCATCAGCCCTTAGAGGATGGAAAAAAAAAGAAGTCTAAGCATCAGCCGCAGCCAAAAGACGTCATTGCCATTTTTTTCCATCCTCTAAGTTGCCGACACACGCGATAATAAAATCAGAAAACCGAAAAAGGTGCGTTCAGTGCGCTAAACTCTTAGAGGATGGAAAAAAATAAAGCTAATCTATGCAAAGAAAATCGCTCAAATAATATTTGCAAAATATGCGGTGTACATTTGTGTTACACAGCTGACAGAAACTGTTTTGCAGCTTTTCATCTTAGAGGATGGAAAAAAATAGTCTAAGCTTTTCATACATAAAAACAATATTACCTATAAGTATATATTTTTTAAAGATATTGATGCATTTTATTTCTAATAGTATGTAATAATCATAGAAAACCAAATAATATAAATTAAGAAATCATAGTGATCTGTGACACTTAAAGCATATTGGGACATATTTGTCCCCTCCATTAAAAATAAAAAAGTTTGCTATTTTTGTTGTTATGTACAATTAAAATACATAAAAAATATATAAATCCCATTAAATATTAAAAAAAATCTTGTCAATTGATTTTAAGCGTGAAAGGATTAATAATTCATCAGATTTTACTTTCGTACAAAAATAAAAATATTTCAATGGGTTGCTCTAAACGGTGACAACTCTGTGTGGTCGCAAAAGAAAGTATGCGGGAGTCGTTGCTTTGCTAAACCCTTAGACTTTTATTTTTTTCCATCCTCAAAGGCTAAACCAGAAAACTTACTAAGTGTCCGATAGAACAAAAAAAAAGTTTATTTTTGGTAAATGTATCTTTTATAAAGTCATGGAACTAAAGTTTCTTTAATGTGTTATTACTAGTATAGCCCTGCGAGATTAGTATTTTACAAATAACCCTGTTTGTTTTTATATAACTGTTGTTATACCTTTAATGTGGGTAAGAATGTAAATAAAGGCATTCATAAGATTATTCGTAGAAATATTTATTGGTTAACATCGATCCAGTTCGACACTGTTACAGATCTATCCAACAGAACGTTTTTCATAAATACGTAGTACGTAATAGACATAGATCCAAAACACAACACTAAACTAAGTACAATTTTTCAGTTTGTCGCTGAACGCTTCAAATATGTTTTATTGATGCTGGATGGTTTGATCAACAGAATTTGAAATGCACGCCAACTGACGTAGTTCGGTAGGTATATGTTTACTGTCAATAACAAAACCCTTCCGGAACTACCTATTGGATGTAAGAAATTTGTTTCATACAATTTAAGGTAGGCATACCTACACCAATTTATTTTTTCTTTTCTTACTGGAATATTTTAGATACTTTGCAACGAAATTAAAAATTTATTCTAAACCATATTTTTAACTTTATTCTAGTTGAATCTGTCGTATTATTCAGGCTACTTCTTTTGTCATATTTTCTGCTCTGTTTACAATTTTTGTTTACGAAAACCTTATAGGCCTTGAAATTTTATTCAACAAAACGTTTCGTCCACTAAACACTCTTTGAGCATTAAATTCAGTCGGAGAAAAGTCTATTATGTGAGTAGAGTCGTCAGGAAACATTTCTGGAATGCAGTAGGTAAGTTTTACAGGTTTTATTTTACACTTTGGCGTCGACGTACAACTGATACATCATCTCAATGATCGTGCGAGTCGGGCGACCCGTCATACCGCGACCCAGGTAGGGAAAATCGTGTCCTTTGGTGTATGTGATATTGTACGTATCGAGGTGGACCCACTTGAAGTCACATACGAATTGCTTTAGAAAAGCAGCGCAGTTAGGTGAATCTCCATATTTATGTCTGCCGGTATTCGCCACATCGGCGCACTGGACGTCCAGTACGCGATCTTCGTAGAATTTCCACAACGGCATACGCCAGATCCGATCTCCAGTGCACGCAGCGGCTGAGTCCAGGTAGCAATATAGTTCATCTGAATTACTATAGCACCCGCAAGCCGAGGCGCCTAACGTTGCCATCAATTCTTTAGACATTGTGCCTACGTCAATAACGAACTTGGGCCAATAATTTCTCGCATATACTAGACTGTCGGCAATAAGTAGCCGTCCTTCTCGCGAAGGAAGTCTTATACGAACAGATTTTCCGGTGGCACTACAAACGATATCCCCGAACTTGGGGCTCTTGCCGCTAGGCATGAGTTCGCAAAGTGGCAGAATACCGCGAATATTAACGGGCAATTTAAGTTTAGCCGCCGCTCTAGTGACGGCCAGTACGCATGCTGCACCCGCCATGTCACCTTTCATGTATCTCAGCTCATCGGGTGGTTTCAAGTCCAGACTGCCGCTATCAAACGTCACTCCTTTGCCGATTAGCACTATTGGGCGAGTGCATTCATCCGCGCCGTAGTAACTGATCTCGACATACAGCGGCGGTTGTACAGATGATTTACCCACCGATACAAACCCTCCCATTTGGTGCGCGGCGGCCCATCCTTTAGTTTTAATTTCTACGTTTATATCTAACTCACACAACAGTTCTACCATGATTGTGGCAAAAGCCGTAGGATTCAAAAGGTTAGGAGGCATTTCCGATAGATATCTGGCTAAGTTTTGTGATTCAGCTTTCAATTTCCCAATGTTCCAGCCATCAAAATCACAATCATCGTACAAGTGCAGTTTGGGTGCATGTGGACTAGGATATTTCTCGGGACGTCTATATTCTCGAAATTGCCAGCAGCCTAGTGCAGCTCCCTCTGCGGCACATTCAGCATTGCCAAAAGATTCCAAGTAAATAGCTCGTGGATTAAGAGCTAAGAGAGATTTGCATGCTGATCCGGCCGCTACTCTTATGGCTTCTTTACTTTCATCTATTCTTTCAGAGCTACTGTACGCCAAGCACTCTGAACCCAAACCAGAAACACATACATAACCATAATTGGGATCTACGTCGTAAAATATTCTGTTTTCACCAAGTTTTGGTATGGGGGTAAGTTTCAACAATTTCCAAAGTTTGCCATTCACCTGCTTATCATACTTCTGTGCGCTGGCCGTAAGGATCGCTGCATCGTCTCCGGGCACTTGATCGTTGTAGTAGACACCTAGCACCAGTCCCCTGTCCCTGGGAGTACATGCTTTTGGGTCTACTACCTTTTTTGGCGGCCCAAAGGGCGTACAATCTGTTTTTGGCGTTTGGAATTGTGATATATAGCGTAAACATATATTAATATTGCCTAAGAAAATGGTGGGGCGAAAGACGAACATACTTATAATTTTAATTCCAGATTTTATAAAAAAGTATACTCGAAAATCCTTATCCTAAGCCGACATTGCCTACTTGATTTAACGTGTTTTAACTTTTTTTTAGAAAACGGTAATACAACTCTAATTTTAATGAGTAAGTTTATATTAAAATTAAAATAAAATAAGTACAGTCACAATATCTTACAACACACGAGTACAATGTTCACATTCAAACTTTACACAATTTGTCTTTTGGAAAAGGTCAAGAAGTCTTCTTCTTTAGCCATGTAGGAGTATGGTTTTTAACCCACTCGGGGATATCCATTAATAGTGTTTCTTGAAGTTGACGATATATGATAAGAATAAGGAAGGGGATAGCTAGTCTCTCATCTTTGAACAAGTAAACCCAAAACGCGAGCATTAGCAGGCACATATCAACCATGTAGTCGATAGCCGAACGAACATTCATCTTTGCCTTTTCCTCTAGCTCCTTATAATCTATAGGAATAACTATTGTCGCTCTTTCTGTAGTTTTCAAAACTATTTGCTGTATATCTTTCTTGCTTGGATTCGCAAGAATATCGTTTATTTTCGACACATGCTTATCGTTACTTTCTAATTTAGATTTATCTAGTTTCTGCACCTGTTTTGATCTTGTCGGCTTATCGATAGAGTTAGCTGTTTTGATATTAGCACCTGTTGCCTTAATGGGGGTTACTTTATTGCATATTGTTTTCTTTGATTTCATAACTTTTTTTTGGCCTTCTTTACCTTTTTTTTCAAGTTGTTGTTTTTCAGCAACGGCTTTTAAATCCTCCGTTTTAAGGTAAAGTGGTATTGTTGGTTTTTTTTGACTGCCGAATTCTTTTACTATATTTCCGTAGTAATCTATAACAGTCCTGCCCTCTTCACTTATCTTATCAATTTTTTCTTCTTTTTTGGTTGTTGAAGTTTTTATAGTTTCCACTTTTGGTACCTGGCTATCTTCTAGTTCTTTCTTAGGCTCTTTTTTGGTTAAAATTTTTGGGAAGGGGAAAGGTTTTTGTATAGGCATTTTCGTGAATTTTTTGAACAAGGTAATTTTTTCCTCTTTCTTTGGTTTTTCGTCAGCCGTTTCTTTTTCTATTGTTTTCGAAATATCATCATCTTGACTTAATTTTGGTTCTTTTGTATCTGATTCTCTACGCTTTAATATAGGTTTAGGTATAAAATTAGGATCGGGAAGGGGCAACGGTTTAAGTATTTCTCTTTCCGATTCTTCTTCGATTTCTTCCTTGAGCGGCGAAGGTCGAGCTAACTTATCTCTAGGATTGTACGTCTCCTCCTCGTTCCCATATTCACTTCTATGTACATCTCCGTTGAGACTGCCTTCTTCCTCTTCTGAGTATTCGCCGTCGGTAGAGACTGTGCTAGCAGTATAATCTTCGTCGAACGACATATGCCACTTATTATCCGAAACCTCTGAATCATGTGAAGCCTGCCGTGAATTATATCTATATTCTCTGTCTTCTATGGAGTCAGTTTTAATATATATCTCAGGAGGTTTGGCTAATAAAGACTCACGTACTGGTGGAGCTGCAGACTCCTCATGAACTTGGCTTGAATATTTCGGAATGTTGTTGCGTTCGAAAGTGCGTGACTGAGTTAATTGTTTTTGCTTAGTTTGTTCCTCTTCGAGTGCGACGGCCTTGTAAAAACGCGCCATAGCTCGCTCATGCAGCAGCTCGGTAGAGCTTACTGCGTAGCGAAGTGCCTTGAAGGGTATCACGCACCGCGAACTCAGCTCCGGCGCTGACAGCGATATGGGTGGCGGAGCCAGTGCCTCCTCTAAATCCAGTTGGAACGACTTTCTCTTTTCTAAAAAAGAAAAATATTTTGTTTAAGTTTTTCGTAATATTTTACTCAAATATTAACCTACTTTGGTAATCGCTTTCGCAGTGCTTCGTAAAAGTGTTTATGAGCATAAATACAATGAGTGCTATCATTTAATTAATTGAACTCAATATTACTACGTCAGTTTGGCTCACATAGCTCAGCTCGCAAGCTATAACAATTATTTTCATTCCAATTAAAGGCTAATAAGTTGTAATTTATATTTGTCACATGAATCACATTTACTGTAAGCTCGTTATTGGCTATTACTTACGTTATTTGTTCAATATATTTATTAAGGTTGTGCTCTAGGCTATTAAAGTATTACGGTATTTTCAGCAAAATAATGGATGAAATGTACGTTGTACAGAAAAGGTTATAATTAATATTATTATGTAAAGGCAGTACCTACTGATTTCGTTACAATTCGCTTTGCTGTGGTATAGTGGTGCAAACGCCACGCACTTGAGCTTTATGCCTCTATGCATGCACAGGGCTAAACATATATTTACACTACAATTCGAATAATTTTTTTTTTATATTCTTTTCATTATCGTGTTTTATTTTCATTTTTATGTTTCATTGTATTACGAAACGTAAATACATGATATATTTAATGTATAATTTAGAGGATTTAAAAAACTATAACAATGTTGTATGTACGTAGCAAAAATCAAAATAAAATTATTTTTGTTGGTACCTGCTTTTTCAGTCAAATTGTTGTCAGGGTATAGCACCAACATAAACTCGTTACTCCCGTCCTGGTCTCTAGCAGGAGAAACGCTTACGGCTCGACGCGGAACCTTAGGCGCGACTGGTTCGGCAGCAGGGCCGGTGGAAAACAGCATTGGAGGAGGAGCGGGCGCCCTCTTTCGACGCGGTGCCGGTGACACACGCGGTTCCTCGCCTTCCACCCGTAGAAGCTCTTCGTTAATGATACGCGACTCTACTGCCAGACACTCTAGATCTACAGCGCGTCCGGGGATGCGGACTGGTGCCGATTCCATTGAAGGAGCACTCATGCCGTAAGGACTTTCGGCTTTTACACGAAATCGGTACTCGCTCCCCTCGATTAGATCAAAAAGAATTACATTTGTCTTTCGACTTGTGGTCGCTTTCAACCACACGTTCCAACCCGCACGGTAATATTCTACTACATAGTTACCAATACGACATCCGCCATCATCTTCAGGCGGTTCCCAGTCTAATGTGACGGACTTGTCCACTTGTCGCGTGACGGACACGCGTCTTGGTGGGTTCGGTGGCGCGGTTATGGTCACCAAAAATGCTGCCGTGTCTTCGCCGATGGCATTCATTGCGTGTATTTGATATTCTCCCCGGTCACTCCTTCGCGCTGAATGTATTTTCAACATAGAAAATTTCGCCGTATTGGTAATCTCAATTCGGTCGTCGCTGGCTATGGGTTGACCGTCATGTCGCCATTCTATGGTTGGCGTCGGTTTGCCGACAATCGTTGTTTTTAAGAAAACAGTTTCGTTTATTTCGTAAAGCAACCCATCTTCATACTGGCGCGGGTAACGCAGTTTAGGTGCAGCCTCCAAAGCGAGATGAGCCTTCGTGACAGCGTGACCGGCGCGGTTTGTTGCTGTACATTTTATTTCGCCCTCGTCACTGGCCAGAGTCTGGTGAAATACAAGAACACTGGAGGCTTCGGTCGTCGTAATAGCCGTTCGTCGACTGCTGAAGATTTCGTAATCGTCTTTAAACCAGGCTATCGTCGGTGCGGGCGCGCCAGTGAAGGAGACGCGAAACTCTGTTTTGTCATTTTCTAGAGCCGTCACATCTTCCAAATGCTGGAGGAAGATAGGCGGCTCCTGTAGACCACGGTCAGAACTAACTGTGAGTACATCGGACAGTTCGCTATAGTCGGATCGACCGACAGCATTGACTGCCGCCACCCGAAACTGATACCGATGTGGTGGGTCCAGTCCAGTTAGCACAAGCTCTGGACGCAGCACCAAAGGTGGTGATGTACGGATCCACTCCGCAGAGCCTAAACGATTGCATTCCACCTGATAACCCTGTAGTGGGGCTCCGCCGTCGTGAGCCGCTCCTGGCCATCGTAGTGTAATCGCGTTCGGCTCGTCGTCCGATAATATCGGGACGATATCAGGTTTGCCAGGCACCGCCGGCCGCCCTGCAATAAAAATACAGGACAGTTACAATTTACATTATAACAGAAAGGCAAAGAGTTTAGCCGGTGTTACCCGTATATTTGGAGTTTGGCATAAACTATCTTACAAAATTAGACGCCTGATAATCATTACATGAATTTGGATGGTCTTACGATTTGTTTTGTTGTGCCACGCTTTGGGAATCGCAGCGCGCAGTCTTTTTTAAAAATAGACATATAGACTGGGGCCTCGGCGGCAATTCATAAGCAGTCGGTATTCACGTTGCGGCGGAGGTGAGGATGGCAGATGATTCGGAACAAACCATTACCTGCAGATTTCCAGTGCACGTTTTTCCTGGGCTTGAAAGTGGCGTGTGAGGCGGAATGTTGGTTGCCCATGGCGGCGGCGGCGCGCGCCGACACACTGAACGTTCAGCAGCGCACACCCCCCGCGCCGTGCCTCACGTCGCATCACCCCGAGCGCGCTGGGAATAACTCTGCGCGCGCGCGCCCGTCCGCCCGGATGCGATCTTGATCCGTTTGATCGATAGCTTTTCATTAACGACCACCGTTGGGTTACGACCTTTGGCAACGACTGGATTTTTGTTAATATAATGAGACAATATGTTTGAATGTTTAAATTTCAAGTTACTAAAACGTTTAATGTCGATTCTTAGGGCGTTATTTATATCTTAGGCGTTAGCCTACAGGGACCGATCGAATATTAAAAGTAAAAAAATATTTCTAATCGATTACGAAAACATTTTAAGATTACAATCCATTAGATCATGTGCCATGTTAACACGATGGTGGGCATTCTGAATTTGTGTAGGTACTTGGATTATTCTTAAATTCATTTTGTTGCCTTTACTTAATATTTACAATATTGCATAACATTCCCCTCAAGGCTACACAATAGGTAGAAGTAAAAATAAATTTTAAGATTTGACGCTGTCGCTATTACGTAAATAGATGAAATGAGATGGTACGATGAACTTACTATGGTTTTTGCTCATACGGTGACATCTAGCGACAGAACTGGATAGCAAAAATTTCTTTAAAATGTGGTTTGAGTCGGAGGAGATCTGTAATTTGTTCGATCTCACCGAGAGAATGAACAACTTTTCATTATGTCACGTAGGTGGCGTATAGCAAAATAACTTGCAAATTGATTACGTGATACATGTGTTGGCAATCGAAAAAGCGCTATAGGGTGCAAATGAGACTAATGAATTCGACACTTGCTGATCTGAGCGCCAAATGCTTTAATTCTTGACTCAGATTTTAAAGGATGTTTACAGTTATTACGTTATAATTTTATAATTAGTGCCCAACATTGTATAGGAACGTGAAGATAGATCGCCGCGTCGCCACCGCCGCCGATGCTCAATGCGATGAGATGAAATTCAATGAATAAGATTCATCCCCTAATGGGCCACCCTTAGAGGTGAAATATTTTCTTCAAACTAGAATGAGACTGCTACTGATGCACCCCTTTCCAACAAAAAAAGAATCAACGAAATCGATTTTCGAACGTTGGAGTAATCGCGTAACATACACAAAAAATACAGTCGAAGTACCTCTTCTGTTTTCAAAATCGGTTAAAATTGTTTCAGTGTCTTTGGTTTTGCGATTGTTACAAACAGGAAATGAAACTATTTTTCCGGATTTAAATCGCGTATATTTGTTTTTTCAAATAACAAACTTTTTGGGCCCTTACAGGTCCTATGTCAGTCAACCATCCAGTCAACCGTGACCATGGGACCTGTAAAGGACCCGAAACGTTGGTTTTGTTTGTCGGTTGTATAGTTTCATTTTCTATTTGTTTTCGTGCTTTTTAACCACTGAAAAATATACGCTACGTCGACTCTAACTACTAAAAATTATTATTTTATAAAGCCAGCAATACAAAGACCATGCTGGTCTAACGTTGCCGGGTGAAGGTCAATACCAACGTATAGACAGCCTATTTGCCTTGCTTTGTCCTGCCATCGTTCGATGTCACTCGCCTAGCTGACGGAGTGAAAGCGAGCGCTAACGTGCATAGAGCTCGTCTGACGTGGCTTGTCACAACTCGCAGTCGCTCGTGATTACTTGTCTCACTTCGGAGAAGTGTCGATTTTTCTTCACAAATCGAAGGCGCTCGACTAATAGCAGTCAATTGACATTGTATAATCAGACATTTGCATGCTATTTAATATACGCGAAACATGTTTATACTAACACAGTCTCTTGTTACATCTCCTGTTATACCATGTTTTAAGCAAATAAACGTATGATAATCATTGACTTACAAATAGATGGACGACGGGTCTAATACAAAACCACGAAAAAAATGTCCCAAGTCAACCTATTTAAACGTAGTGACATGTAAAGGAATATGAAAAAGCTCAAACGTTGAATTTAAATTGTAATGTCATCGCAGTACTGTCTAATATTGCTTGCTTCGCTGTCAGTCGAACAAACGAAGACTAAAGTGTGAATGACGCTCTGTATACGATTTTAACGCCCTACAAGTTCGGACACTTTGTAGAGCGGACCCGATGTCCATATAATTGTAAGTCAATGATGATAATAATATTATTATTGATAATATTACTACTTTCATTTATTTCCAAAATTAAATGGAAGTATTAAAGATTCACTTAAATCAGTCACTGATATTAATTCTATACCAATGCATAAATACAAAAAAGCTTACACTATTGGGAACCCGTTTAAAATGTTCTCAATGAAAATATGAATCTTGAGGTTGGAAATGTATAGGATATATATTTCAAAGTTTTCTCTTTTTTATATACTCTCAAATTACAAATATTGTTTTTTTTTTCTGTGCAAATTTCACTTTTCGTAATATTTGAGTATTTGTAAATTCAAAACTTTGAAAAAAAAGGCCCGCGCGACACAGCTAACGCTTTCGATCACCGCCCTGTCCTCCTTCAGCTCTCCCCTCGTTCGGACATAGCCCCCATGACCCTTGCGCCCCCGTTAAATCGGTGTTGGACTGGGGGAAGTTGAGTCATGACCACAATTTCCTCGAGACTGAACACCTAGTTCAGATTTCGGACCAGATTTCTTCAGTCGTAGACGCCAACTGTTGACCGTCTAGAGGGACACATACAAACCGCCGTTTGTAACTACTCCCGGCCGGCACCAGCTACAGACGACTGTTGCTGGAACCTACCGGAGGATGTGCGTGCCCTTCTAACGGAAAAGAACGCAGCCACTCGTGCTTATGACTCTTACCCCACCGACGAAAACCGTCGTTTCCTGCGGGTTTACAGAGGGACGTAAAGACGCCTATGGACGAGGTACGTCAAAGTCGATGGGAAAGCTCCTAGAAGGGCTCGAGCCCACCCACCAAGCCTTTTGGCAACTAACCCGTTCTCTCAAGTCCACAGTTGCCCAAATGCCCCACCTTAACCGACCCAACCGCACCTCAGCATTTGACGACGAGGAAAAGGCCGAATGCCTGGCCGATAGCCTCGAAGCCCAGTGCTCCCCTAGCCTAGAGCCGATCGACTAGACCCACCACCTCCGGGTGGACTCCGAGGTCGAACTCAGAGCAACCCTCCCGCCCTCCGACCCTCCTCTCTCCCTGGTCACCCCAAAGGAAGTAGAATCGCTCATAAAGGACCTTAAGCCCCGCAAAGCCCCAGGCCCCGACGGTATCTCCAACAAGGTGCTTAAACAACTTTCTGCACCCCTCATCTGTCTCCTGACTGCAACTTTTAACGCCGCTCTGACCAACTGCACCTTTCCGCAAAAGTGGAAATGCCCGTGATCGGTGTTTACAAGCCCGGGAAACCTCCATCTGAACCCACCAGTTACCATCCCACCTCCCTGCTTAACACCATGGGCAAACTCTATGAACGCATCCTCTACGCCCGCCTCAGTCACTTCATGTCTCACAACCTCCTCCCCGACGAACAGTTTGGTTTTAGGCACTCATGCGTCCAGCAAGTGCACTGGATAGTGGAACATATCTCCGAAGGTTTCGATCGCCCCCGCTTCATGCCCACCGGCGCCCTCTTTTTCGATGTGGCAAAAGCTTTCGACAAAGTCTGGCACAACGGCTTACTTTACAAGCTGTACAACCTCGGCGTGCCTGATCGTCTCGTGCACATCATTCGAGACTTCTTGTTGAACCGCTCTTTCCGCTACCGAGTTGAGGGCGCACTCTCTGCAAGGCTCTGTCCTCTCGCCCCTTCTATTCTCCCTGTACACTTGCGATATCCCGAAGTATCAGACAGTAAATATAAAAACAGAACAGTAAAATCAGTACAGTAGTCAGAAGTATCAGACAGTAAAAATAAAAGGAGACCGAGAGCTGCAAACCCTTCTTCCAGCAACATAAAATTCTTACACTTACATGTATATATATTCTAGAAATGTGTAAGTTCGTCCGAAATAATTTAGATTTATTTACAAAACGCGGAGATGTCCCCAATAAATATTCCTTCCGACATAAGGATAGATTGCTACTACCAGCATCGCGGTTAACTATGCACTCATCGAGTCCATTTGTAATGGCAATCAAAATTTATAATAACTTACCTGAAGATATAAAAACAGAAACGACTAAATTTATAAAAACTTTAAAATCATATTTAATATCAAAAAGCTATTATACACTGCACGAGTATTTCAACAATTGACAATTAGAGTATTTCCAAATGATTATTTAAATATTTAATTTCAAAAAATACATATTAATACAATAATAATCTAATTAATTCAAATTTCAAATTTAAATATTTTATTTTGGATTAATCTATATTGTTCAGTAATACCTACATAACAAGTAATTGTCTAAGTTAATCATCATTTCATTATATTAGTTATTTAGTTTGCAATAGAATAAGTTTAAATTTGTAAAAACAACTGTGCATGCAGTTGTTTTTAGTTTTGCTGTGCCCTTACAGGGTCCATAATGTTAACTGCTAATACTACCACCTAACATTGTAACATTATGGTCTGCAATAAACGTATTGAGTACCTATTGAGTATTGAGTATTGAGTAAATCTCGCCCTCTTTGCCGACGACACTGCGCTCTATTATTCGGCGCGCAGCTCCAAATTAGTTTCCGCGGCTCTCCAATCTGCCACCACACGCCTAGGCGAGTGGTTTCGCAGATGGAGAATCGAAGTCAATCCCAACAAAAGCGCGGCGGTATTCTTTACGCGGAGTAACCTTTCCAGTCGTAGAGTACAAAACCTCACCCCGATCTCGCTCTTTGACCGCCTAATCCCTTGGGTGAACACGGTCAAATACTTAGGAGTTACGCTCGATAGGAAGCTGTCATTCAAAGCACACGTGAAAACCGTCCGCGATCGCGCCCACTTTGTTATGAGCCGGCTCCACCCCCTTCTCAACAACCATAGCAAACTCTCCCTTCGTAATAAGG